TATTCATTTGATTATGTTAAACCATTGTCAGCTTCCCAGAGTTCTGTCAGAGTTCACTCTGACAATTTCGACTTGCTTGGTAGTCCTGTGGGGGCGTGGGGCGGTGGAGAGACTTACTCTGTCACCTTGCTGACATAATTCTCCACGGTCATAATTTTAGGCTAATTTTTGAAGGATGGTTGAGTTCCGCCCCCCTCCATGCTTTGAAATGATTTCTTCATAGTCTTGTGATATTGATTGTCTCCTCGTTGACCTTACAATCAGTCCATCTTTGATAGATTACCTATTTTGAGTATCTGGGTTTACTATTTGAATTTCATGCTTCGAGATTTATTTTTAACTATTCTACTTTTATTCATTTAACACTTTTAAACTCGTGTCTTCTTTCCGTCTTAGGAAAGTTTTGCCCATTCTACTTCACACATTGCTTTTCTGCCTTCCTCTACCTCTTTCTTCTTTGACTTCTTCTTGACTTATGTTAGGAACTCTCTACTTGCCTTCTACGTTTTAAAACTTTTAAAAACCGTTCTTAATCTTTGTGTCTGTGTTATGTTCTGGGGAAACTCCTGCTACTTTCTTCTAATTCCCTGGCTCTGTCTTCAACCACGTTCTGTCTAGCATTCATTGGACCTATGAAGCTAACTGTATAATTTATTTTTAGGATTTCTATCTTTTTTCTCTTATCTACTTATTCTTCTTTCCTCTTTGCCTGTTTTAATTTAACATAGAGTTCTCTTTATGGTTGTTAATCTATCTTTGATTTATATGAATATCTTAAAAATAGATATTTTCAAGTTGTTTCATCCCAGGCAGTTTTGCTTTTGCTCTCTCCATAGCTGGCGGGACCCCATGCAAGTCTCTGGCGTTCTTTATCCTGGCTCTTGTCTCCCGCCATGAGTGGACCAGTTCCGACCTTATTGCTCTGTGTGAACAGAAACTCCTTATTCTGAGTAGTTTTTAGCAGGACTATAACACCAGTTGTAGCCAAACATATGTTTTGCTTTCTCTTCCACAAGATCCATCTGCTCCCCAGGTTTTTCCTATTCGTTTTTGTCCTTGTGGATTTATGACTTTTTAATTCATATTGTCATCTTGATAGGTTTATAGGAGCAGCAAGAGCATGTATTCAACTTACCGTATTTACCTGAAAGAGTAGGTAGTATTTTCAACTTGCAATATTTTAATGCAAAGTGATTCGTGAATTGCTTAGAAATTGCAACTTGTTACAAGGCCTAGCAAGCATTGGTATGTCCTCTGGCTTTTATTCATGGTGTAATGACTGTAGCTCAACAACATTTTATTTTTTGTTAGTTTTTAAAGGATTTAATTTAAACACCAATAACTTATATACTGTTTTTGATAGTTGTTTGCAAATATCCCAGGTGGCTTAGCAAATATCTTTTTATTCTCTGAATCATATGAGGAACTGTTCATGTTCTCAATGTTGAGGACCTCTGCCTTCTGAGTCTTACACAAGTGTCTCTCGAGGCGGAATATAGCCAGAATTCTGCTGCCAAGGGAGTCTGGGCAGTGCAAGTTCTGGGCGTCGGCACCTCTGAGATGGGTGGAGTGGGTTCATCCACCCTTCTGCTCCTACTCAGACCTTCAAACAGTAACGATAGCAGCATTATGCAGCTGTCCCTTGTCCAAATGAAGATGCGCCCATCGTTCCCCCTGACATACATGTTTCAGCGCCAGGCTTTATTGGTTCCCTCTCTATGTGATGGTTATTGCTTTCCTGTTCACACACAAATCCTCACGGGTACCTTGGACCTTAAAAAACGAAATTCCTAAGTTGAATCACCACTTTGGAAAAAAAACTTTTATATATAAGGGGAGAAATTTTAAAAGTTGGTTATAATACAAGTAGATGTATACAAAGCAAAGGTGGAAACTACGCACACAGTCCTCGTTTCTCGAGCTGACTATGCGGCCAGATGGGTAATGATAACGTCTTCCTTCTACCCACTGTATGCCTCAGACTTCAGTGGAAACCATGCTTGGCCCAGGCGTTTCTATAGATGGTGGGTGACTCAAACCTTCACTCCCAAAGAGCCTGAGTCACCAAGCTCCCATGCATAACTGTCTTCCTTTCCCTTCCACCACTGCCATGGAAGGAGAAAGAGAATTCCATACGCGACTTTTATCTTCACTGGGAGCAATGTCTCTGTTTTTCCTTGCTATCACGATTGATCACGCACCCCAGCCAGTATAGTAACCTCCCTTTTTGTCTATTGGTTCAGAAGCCTGAGAAGCCTAAAGCACCCATTGGCAGCCACAACTTCCAGTCTTTGGGAATCTTTGTTAACGCCTGGTGAAAGCATCACTCCCTTGGGAAGCCAGCAGAGTCCCAAGCTACAAGGAGAATCACCCTATTTTACCAATGAGGGATAATATTGAGAGTAGCTATTTCCTGGTTCCTGGATCTGTGTTTCTGACTATTAAGGAAAACTGGGTTTTTTTGGTATTTTATAGATAGAATGTATACTACATCTTACAGGACAATGTGCTGTCCCAGCAGCTCCATAACTGAGTTATTAATAGGTCATTCCACTGTCTTATCAGTGCATTGCTTCTTGGTGATGTAGGACATCATGAGCACAGTGCATTTGTAACTGCGTGTCCATTGTCTTACTTCTTTGGATATAAACATTTTCTTTTTGATAAGCAATATTGTGAACAATATCACCACGGTGAATAAGAGACGGCTAAGAAGACCAAGATATTGGTAAATGGTGATTCTGGAAGAGGTACTGAGGCAAGGAACACTACTTCCTTCATGATGGAAGAGGTCACACGGTCAACCTGGCACCAGGTGGTCAGCTGGTCTACTTTGCACGGTGCCTCATTGGGTGGAGCTGAGCATTGTCCTGTCACTGATAAGTTAGGCACTCAGCAATGATGGCACCCGGATTAGCCTTGGTAAAAGAATGTCCACTCTGTTGAGTCCTACTGCCATGGCCATTTGATACGTGGGTCCTTTGAGCGATGACAGAGGTGGTGCGACAAGAAGAGGCTGACAACGAATGTGTCTCCATGTTCACATTATCAGGAACCTCCTGGGTAGTGAACACCCTTTGGTGAGCATTCATAAGGAGCATAACTGCTTGGTAATTTCTGAGTGATCCATTTATATACCGCATATCTTTGTCACCAGTCCTCAGTCTAATAGATATATTGCCACATCTTTGGTCCTTAGCCAGCTTCTCAGGGGTGTTTGACTTTCCTTTCTTGCAGGCCACACGAACCCTAGGATATGTCGTTGAAGATTCCGACTGCTCTTGGCGTTTCCCTTCCTTAGTGTGCTCTAGAGCAGGGGTTCTCGACCTTCCTGATGCTGCAACCCTTT